CGATAGGCGTTGTTTGCTGTTGAGTAACAGTGATCCAAAGTGTTCTGCTCTCTGGGGGGGCATTTAATAAACTGTCTGTATTTGGGTAGCTCCTGACTCAGATTTACTTTGTTAAAGTCACCAAGCACAATAACAAGAGAGTCAGGAAAAGTTCGCTCCACATGTAAGACATGGTCCGACAGCGCGCGCTGAGCCTCACGTGCGTCAGCGGCGGGTGGGATGTATACAGCCGCCAGGATGAATGAAACAAACTCACGCGGAGAATAAAATGGTTTACAGTTAATGAAGAGATATTCCAGAGAAGGAGAGCAGTGTTGTGAGATCACCGTCACATCGGTGCTCCAGCTGTTGTTGATGTAGAAGCAGACTCCGCCGCCTTTTGTTTTTCCGGAGAGCTCTGCGCTGCGATCCGCACGGAGGAGTTGAAATCCCTCCAGGTGTAGCGCGCTGTCCGGGATCTGTCCGCTGATCCATGTCTCCGTGAAGCACAAAACACAAGAGGAGGAAAGGTCTTTGTTCCTTCTCATGAGCAGCGCCAGCTCATCCATCTTGTTGCTGAGAGCTCGGACATTAGAAAGAAATACACCAGGTAAAGGCGTGCGTGTCCCCCGTCTGCGAAGGCGCACAAGAGCTCCTGCACGTTTGCCTCTCTTACGGCGTCTTCCTGATGCATTTATCTCTCTGAAACAACAATTGGCTGCTGCAGTGCAGTTGGCCATTCCTGACTATACTTCACAATTCTATTTGGATGTTTCTGTAACAGAGCTGACAGTTAATGCAGTTCTGTTTCAGAAAAAAGGGAGTGAGAGTAGAATTCTCCAATATGTCAGTGCAATGCTAGATCCTATGGAGAAAAGGCATCCTGCATGTACAAGACATGCAGCAGGTGTAGGAAAAATTATTCAAAAAACAGCACACATTGTGATGGGTCATCCATTGCAGGTTATGACATCACACAGTGTGGTAGCATAATGTGAATTCACAACACTTCACATTGACAACATTGAGACAACAAAAATTGAGCAAAATTCTGGAATCACCTAATATAACTTTTGTACATATTGGAGTGAATATGGCTGACAGGAAGGACAGCCACATAAATGTGAGGAGTTAGTACAAAAGGAAGAAAAAATAAGACCTGACCTACAAGCTTCTCCTTTAGGAGGTAAAGATGTGAGAAATTTTTACACAGATGGTTGCTGTTTTAAACATGACACAGACGGATTGAGAGCAGCATATGCTGTAGTGGAAGATGTGGGCAGTGTGTTTCAGGTTTTAAAGGCAGAAAGGTTACAGGGTGCCCAATCAGCACAGAGAGCAGAAGTGAAAGCGATGGTTGAGGCCCTGAAATTAGCTGAAGGATTGAGGGTGAATCTATACAGTGATTCAGCCTATGTGGCTAGTGCCGTACACGTGGAACTTCCTCAGTGGCTTAGAGCAGGATTTATAACAGCAGCACAAAAGCCCATAAAACATGAAACTGAAATGAAAGAATTGGCGGAGGCATTACTGCTGCCTCAATCTGTTGCGGTGATTAAATGCAAGGGACATGATCAAAGCAAGACCAGAGTTGCAGCAGGAAATGCGGCAACTCTGGTCTTGCTTTGATCATGTC